TCCTTCCATGACGGAGTCAACAAACCAAAGTAGCCTTAAGCAGTGCCTGCGACTTTGTCGTCCTTTCAAAGCCGTGGTGAGTGTAAAATATCGCTGGAGATACCTGTAACCGCCACATGGTGATATCTTGAGCTAACAGTTGCACTCATGACACTGAAATTACGGTAGGACTTTGGCATTTAAAGCGCTTAAAAAGAAGCGTATATTCTGGAGCCATGGATGCCGCATGAATCCCCAAAACTATTGCCCTGAGATAATCTTTAAACCTTAAACCAAAAATATCCCCTGAAATCTTCTCAAAACCAAACAGTAGTTAAGCTTAATCAGTAAAAAATGTCAGCCTCAAGCATTATGCTCTTTTAAGATCTTTTAGCTTGACAACAGCAACTCAAAAGATTAGATAGGAACCTTAGGGGGCAGTGAGTTTATGTTAATGGGGGAGGAATAACTTAGAAAAGGAGGGTTGCACAACTCAGTGTAATCCATGTCACCGAATTGTATATGTAGAAACTTGAATGGGTGTATGTTCTGCTGTGTATATTTTCAACAAAAACAAAAAATAAAATATAGGAAAAAGAAGCGTATATACTAGTATAGCATGTATGATTCTTTTTCCCCTAGAAAATAAAGCACAGTAATTTGACGACTCATTTCATGACAACTGGTAATCACAAAATTTCCCGTTTATGCCTTCTTTAGCACTGGTTCTTTTAAAAAATTATTGCATTAATTATACTGTTATTTTTCTGAAGGCACAAAGATACCTAGAGTCACGGCCATTTCCCACACAAGATGGTTGTTTGATAAATTAAAGTTGGTTTATCATCAGCCTGTATAAAAGCCCGGGTGGCACATCTAGTTAAGTGCTCAGCTGCTAACTTAAAGGTTGGTGGTTCGAACCTACCCAGCAGTTCTGTGGGAGGGAGACCTGGCGATCTGCTTCCATAAAGATTACATGTTAAAAAAAAAAAAAAATCCGTTGCCATTGACTTGATTCTGACTCAGCAACTCGGCATAGAAAACCCTATGGGCAGTTCTCCTCTGTCATGTGGGGCTGCTGTGAGTTGAAGATTGACTCAAAGGCACCTAACAACAGGGAAAGAACTAGGTCTGGGAACATACGCGTGGTCTTGTATAGTTTAGCCGCCCTGATTATCACAAGATCAGGACAGTGAATAACTTCGTTTTAAAAACACTTTTAGTGTATATTTTTTAATTCTATGTTTTTTCATGAATGCATGTAAACACGTGATTCTGAGGAGTCCCTGGTTTCATCAGATGCTGAATTAAGGCCACCCTGATGGCACAGTGGTTAAGACCGTGGCTGCTAACCAAAAGGTCAGCAGTTCGAATCTGCCAGCCACTCCTTGGAAACCCTATGTGGCAGTTCTACTTTGTCCTATAGGGTCACTATGAGTCGGAATTGACTCGATAGCAATGTTTTGTTTTTTTTTCCCATGGTGGTCATGTCCCTGGGTGGCACAAATGGTTTGTACTCAGCTACTGATCGAAGTACAGCCAGAATGTTCCTTAGAAGTGAGGATGGCGAGACTTTGTCTCATGTACTTTGGACATGTTATCAGGAGGGACCAGTCCCTGGAGAAGGACATCATATTCGGTAAAGTAGAGCGTCAGCAAAAAAGAGGAAGACCCTCAGCGGGATGGATTGACACAGTGGCTACAATAATGGGCTCAAACATAGGATGTGAGGATGGTGCAGGATAGGGCAGTGTTTTGTTCTGTTGTACATAGTCGCTATGAGTTGGAACCAAATTGACAACAACTAATTGGAAGGTTGATGGTTTGAACCCACCCAGTGGCACTGCAGAAGAAAGGCCTGACAGTCTGCTTCTGTAAAGATTACAGCCAAGAAAACCCTAAGGAGCTGTTATACTCTAACGAGTGGGGTTGCCATGAGTCAGAATTGACTTGATGGCAATGGGTTTGAGTTTGAGGTTTTTTTGGTGGTAGTCTAGAGAGGCTGTCTAATACATTACATGGACCTGAGGTCAAAGCCAGCCCAGCCTGTGTGTGGGTCCAGCTCACCCACAGCACTGCTGGGGGACCTGGGCAAGCTGCTCCCATTGCTGAGCCTCAGTTCTTAATCTGTTCAATCCACCATCCCCTCTGAGGTCTCCAACGCTGACCTTCTGACATAACTAGACCTTAAAAAATTTTCAGGCTGGTGATTCTAATATTTTCTATGAAAGTGTTTTGTTGTGGTTGTTATACATGTATCTATATACGTATATATGTATGTGTGTGTGTATACATATATGTGTGTGTATTTATTGTATATGTGTGAAAATATACACAACACACGCCCATTCAACATTTTCTGCCTATACGGTTCAGTGACATTGGTTATGTTCTTCGCGTTGTGTCATCATTCTTGCTCTCTCTACCATATTGTTTCACCACCATTAACCTAGACTCTCTGCCCCCTAAACTTCTCTGTGGTTTTAAGTTACTGTTGTCAGTTTGATTTCATATAGGTAATTCTTTCAAAGAGGGCACTGCTCAAGGTGAACATTCTTTACTAGTTGATCTAAACTGTTGTTTAGTTTAAAGATGACATCATGGGATAGTTTTGGTTCACAGCTTAAAGATTATCTCAGGGCAATAGATTCAGGGCTTCTCCCTGTCTCAGTGCAGTGGGTCTAGGAAGTCCAGTTACTTTAAGAATTTGATTCTGTTCCATATGTTTCCTCTTTTTGATCAGGATCTATCTATTGGGTCCTTGATCAAAACGTTCAGTAACGGTAGTTGAACACCATCCTGTTCTTCTGGGTTCATGGCAGTGGAGGTAGTAGTTCATGGAGGCAATTAAACCTGCAGTCCATTGCCTTCTCTGTTTCCTGGGTCTCCTTCTTCCTCTGCTGTTCCAGGCAAGTAGAGACCGATTGTTGTACCTTGGATGGCCACTCACAAGACCCCAGGCACTACTCACCAAACTAGGAGGTAAAACAGAGACTCCAAAAATGATATTAGGACAGTTGACTAGACAGACCCTCGAAACCATGACCCGAAACCTTATGAAAGGGTTTTAAAGTAGACAGGCCAGACTCCAGCCTAGCACTGACCAATAAAAATATAACACAAACACCTATGTAATTTAAAATTTTCAAGTTATTGTCTTTGTTAGGTGCCATTGAGTTAGTTCCAACTGATAGCGACCTGATGTACAACAGAATGAAACACTGCCTGGTCCTGAACCATCCTCACAATCGTTGCTATGCTTGAGCCCCTTATTGTAGCCACTGTGTCAGTCCATCTCGTTGAGGGTCTTCCTCTGTTTCACTGATCCTCTCCTTTACCAAGCATGATGTCCTTCTCCAGGGACTGGTCCCTCCTGATAATATGTTCAAAGTATGTGAAACAAAGTCTGACCATCCTTCCTTGGAGCATTCTGGCTGTGTTCTTCCAAGACAAATTTGTTCGTTCTCCTGGCAGTCCATGGTATAGTCAGTATTCTTCGCCAACACTGTAATTCCAAGACATCAATTCTTCTTCCATCTTCCTTGTTCATTGTCCATCTTTCACATGCATATAAGGCAATTGAAAATACCATGACTTTGAGCCAGGCACACGTTAATCCTCAAAGTGACATATTTGCTTTTCAACATTTTAAAGAGGTCTTTTGCAGCAGATTTGCCCAAGGCAATACGTCATTTGATTTGACTGCTGCTTCCATGGGTGTTAATTGTATATCCAAGTAAATTTTCAAGTAGTTACGTTAAATAAGGTAAAAAGAAACTGAAATTAAAGTTAATATTTCATTTAACCTAATATATCCAAAATGTTATTATTTCAACATGTGAAAAGGCTATTAGTACGTATGTGTATTTTACATTCTTTTTGGTGTACCAAGTCTTTGAAATCTGGTGTGGGTTTTATACATACAGCACATCTCCATGCAGACTAGCCACATTTTCAAGGGCTCAGTAGTCACTTATGGCCAGTGGCTACTGTATTGGATACACAGCTGTGGCCTGTTTGTTCCGGAATTTTGCAGAAAAGACGTGTTTAGTCAACTTCCCTGTGCAGAGACTCAGAATGCCAACAATTTTTTTCCTAATAATAAATGATAATAGTTATCATTTTTGAACATGTATTAAATGCCAGGCATTGTAGTAAAAACATCTCATCTAATCCTTGCAATCTTGTCGTGAGGTAGGTGGGGTTATCCTCATCTTGCAAATGAGGAACTCGAGGCACAGGAAGATTAGGTTATTGTTCCTGTCAGACAGCTCTGGCAGAGCCAGGTTGCAAACCCAACTCTGACTTTAGCACGCACCCTCTTAAATCAGGATTTGATCATCGTCATAATAAGCCAGTTGCCATTTAGTTGATTCTGACTCATGGTGGGCCCCATGTTTGTCAGAGTAGAACTGTGCTCCCACTGGCTGAAGCTGGAACAATTCGAGCAACAAAATAAATAACATAGTATTGGATGTTTAAAATAAATACCCATTACTAGGAGTTCCTGCATGGTGTAAACAGTTAACATGCTTAGCTCCTAACTGAAAGGTTGGAGGTTTGAGTCCACCCAGAGGTACCTTGGAAGAAAAGCCTGGTGATCTGCTTCCAAAAAATCAGCCATCAAAAACCCTACGGATCACAGTTCTACTCTGACTCACATGGGGTCGCCATGAGTTGGAATCAACTTGACAATAATTGGTGGTGCTAATAACGATAGCTTATGTCTGTGAAGTGCTGCCTATACCGACTCTGTGCTACGTGCTATACAAGAGAGACCTCATCTGATTATTGCCACAGTGTTGTATGGAAAATATTGTTAACCCCATTTGACAGGCTAGGAGACTGAGGCCAGAGCTGTGAGTGCCCAGGGACACTGGAGTAGTTGTGTGGCAAAGCTGAAATCTGAACTGAGGGTTTTTAGCCTCGGGGACCACGTTTGTAACCACTTCTCTGTCTTCTTTCTACTTTTTATGACTGTGAATCTGAGTTGACTTCATTATTTTTTTGTCCTATTCCAGGCCAAGGAGGGCGAGGAAGGCCAGAGATGGACCTCATGGGACTCGCTCGGCTCTTCTCCAGCCCCCGCCTTCTGGGACTGTCTGTCCTCCAGCATCTCTGCCCACGCAGAGCCAGGTGGGCAGGAGGCAGAGAGGGGCCCTCATGGCTGCAGGCTACAGGACTGACTTGGTCGACGCCAGCGGCCTTCAGCAGCTCCCTTTCAGAGCTGCCTCCCGGTCCAGGGAACCAGAAGAACACAGGTGGCCTCAGCTCTGACCTGAGCCAGCCCAGCCCCACGGCCACACCGGACGAAGAGGAGGAGGAGGAGAGCTTTGGGACTCTCTCCAACAAATACTCTTCCCGGAGAATGTTCCGCAAATCGACGGCCCAGTTGTATAACCTACGGATCGGAGGACAGAGTGTGGAGGAAGATGAGGAAAGGGAGCTGGAGCCAAAGTCATGGCGGGGCCCAGGAAACAGCCCTTACTGGTACTTCTTGCAGTGCAAACGCCTGATCAGGGAGGGGAAGGTGAGGAACCTCGGCACTCTGCTGCTCTGCCTTCCACTTCCCTGGTGGCTCAGTGTTTTGTGAGGGGGTGGGGCAGAAAGGAAATGCCAGCCTTGGGGGGCTGCAGGCAGAGGAAGCCTGTTCACCCAGCACTGCCGTCCTGCACCCTCAGGAGGGGCTCTGCAGGAGCCTGTGGCTATGAATGGCCCCCTGGAGTTGTGGGCGCCGTGGCTCTGAGCATGCCCAGCAAACTGATGAGAACCTGTCCCCCCATCCAGCTAGAACCCAGTGTACTGCCACAAAGGATGGGGTCACCAAGGGTGAAAAGGAAGGACCAGGATGCAGGGGCAGATGGTACTGGAATTCACTGAATTAACGTTTTCTGAGGACTTACCGAGTGCCAGGCCCTAGGCTCCACTCTGGTGACACAGAGATGGAAAAGGCCTGGTCCCTGCCTTCAGGGAGGTTCAGTCTCTCTGGAGGGAAAAGGGGACAAAGTCCTCGCAGAGAGGTGGTGAGAGTCCGGGGGGACATTCCTTCTTTCCCTTCTGGTTACAAGAGGCTCCTGTGCTGCGGAACCTGTGGGACCAAGAGGCAGAGACCCAGAGTGGGTGTCTGGCTCCTGGGCTGGGAGGGTCCCTCCACAGCTGTCCTGATCCCCTCCCTGCCCTCCCTCACCAGCTGGCCGAAGCCCTGGACCTGTTTGAGAGGCAGATGCTCAAGGAGGAGCGGCTGCAGCCCCTGGAGTGCAACTACACGGTGCTGATCGGGGGCTGCGGGCGGGGTGGCTACCTGAAGAAGGCCTTCCGGCTCTATAATGATGTGAGTGAGGGGCGCGGGTGCTGGGAGGGAGAACCAGGCTCTGGGATCAGAAGGCGCCGGCTGCAGGCCTGGAGTGCATCATTGCTAGGGCGCTTCCCCAACAGGCCATTTCACCTCCCTGGCCTCAGTTTCACCATCTGTAAAATGGAGGTGATCTTGTGATGACTGAATGAGGTGACATGGGCAGTCCATCAGCATCTGCCCCTTCCTCTCCCGCTGCCACTCCCGGTTTGTTCCAGGTGCTCCTCTGTCTCCCGCTCCCCCACCCCTCTGTGCGTGCCCCCACGCACCTTCTTCCAAAGCACCTTCTTCCAAAGCCGAGCATTTCAGAAAGCGCTCTTTCCTCTTCGGAGGTCATTTTCCTTTAAAGGCCACCTCTCAGGTGTGTTGTATTTGTCATCTCCGTTGTCCTGATGAGGTGAGAGTGTGCCTGCGATCCTTCAGTTAGTTACTCCTAGAGCTGGGGTTTGATGTCTCCCATCCGCCCTTCCCCAGACCAGACCCTTCCCACGGCCCCCTAACAGTCAGGGCCTCTGAGTCCTGCGTGGTAGTTGGAGCCCCAGGAGCCCCCTGCCATGAGTGCCTCACTCCAGAGCAGCCTGATGAGTTCTGGGGGCTGTGGGGGGAGTGGCGGGGAGGTGGCAGGGGGGTGGGGCGAGGGGGGCTGGTGTCTTTTTGGGGGTGTGGAGTCAGTTTTTAGAGTCCTTCTGGTTGAGTCAGGTTTGGAGAGCCAGGCTCTGCTGCCTCACCCGCCCTTGCCTCAGCCATGCCCTGTTCCAGACTTTAATGCAGTAACGGACAGACTCACCGCTATTCCCTCTTACTCACTCCTGCTTTTGGCTGATCCTGGAGCTGCCTCTAATTTTTCCCCATCTCCACAGATGAAGAAGCGGGACCTGGAGCCTTCGGACGCCACATACACAGCCCTGTTCAACGTCTGTGCTGAGTCGCCCTGGAAGGACTCCGCTCTGCAGAGTGCCCTGAAACTACGGCAGCAGCTCAGGGCCAGAAACGTTCAGCTCAACTTGAAAACGTACCACGCCCTGCTGAAGATGGCTGCCCTGTGCGCGGACCTCAGGATGTGCCTTGATGTATTCAAGGTGGGCACCCTCCCCTCCTCGGCCAGTCCCGAGCGGGTGCTGGCTGTGGCCTTCCATCTCCTCTCACACAGTAAGGTTCGGGCCGCTGGAGGCCCTGGGGTTCACAGATGACTCTGACGAGGCGCCTGCTCTCAGAGGCCCTGCTTGACAGAGTGTTAGGCCCCTGACGTGTGAGGATGGCAAGTCATGTGCACTACTTTGAGGAACCTGTGTGGAGCCTGGCAGTGCGACTGAGAAGGGAGGCTCCAGACAGGGCCCCTGCTGGGAAGGAGCAGCAGGTGTAAGAGCTGGTGTTCAGGGAACTGCAGAGTCTGGGCTGGTTGTGTTGGGTGCGAGGGAAATGGGGGCATGAAGATGGGAGCACTGAGCAGGGTCCGGTCCAGAAGGTCTGGGCTGCCAGGCTGCTTCAGGGTGCTGGCCTGAATCCCATCTGCTCCCCTGGTCGCCCTGGGAGATGGGTAGGTAGGTTTTCATCCCCAGCTCACTGAGAAGGAGACCATGAAGGGTTTTGAGCAGGGAGGACCATGAGTGGGGAGTTGAGAATACTTTTTCAGGTTGCAAGAAAGAGATAGATGAAGGTTTATTATAAGGAAGCAAGGAAGACTCAGTCCCCACTGCTGGACCTCGGGGCTGAGTATGCTCTCGGCGGCCTGGGCATCGCATTTCCCCTCAGGCAGCTCCCCTGTTGCTGGCTAGTCCCCAGATTGGCTGCCCTCTGTGAGTCAACTCCCAGGGGTGCTGTGGGCAAGGCAGGTGCTGGAAGCTTCCAGAATAGCGAAGTGTAACTGGCATTGTCCAGACGTGTCAGATCAATGTTTTAAGCAGGCCACTCTGAGTGGTGTGGGGAGGGATCCAAGAGAGAGGGACAGTTAAGAGCTGTGGTGTCCAGGAGGAGGGCCAGACCTTACTGAGCAAGCAGGAGAGTTGGTGACAGAGGAGGCAGCCCCGGGGGTGGGGAGGGGGGGGTGGGGTGGGGAATGCCCACACTGATGAAGACCTTGAGGTGCCTGACAGGTGGAAGATGGGGTGGGAGAGTGTGATGTGGGAGGAGCTTCTCAAGAAGGCAGTGGCCAACCCTGACACTCCAAGAGAGGCCAGCGGTCACTTGGGCCGTCAGCACTTGCTGTGTGCAGGCCCCATGGTGTCCGTGGGATTGCTCCAAAGATCCCCTAAGGCAAGTCCTAACTGTGACCCCACACCCCGGATGAGACTAAGACCCAGGACGCTGGCCCTTGAAGGCTGGGACTTGAGCCAGCTCGGTGCAGTCCCAGAGCCTCGAGGATGGGCAGAGTACGGTGGGCTTTGCGGAGACGGTGGGAGCAGAGCTGGGGAGGAGAGGCCTGCAAAGGAGGGGCGTGGCCGGGGAGGAGAGGCCTGCAAAGGGGGGGCGTGGCCGGGGAGGAGAGGCCTGCAAGGAGGGGCTTGGGGCAGCAGTCAGGGTGCGGTCCCAGCGCCGGAATCCGGCACCGCAGGCAGGCTCGGCACGCACAGGTCTGGTTCCTCCCGGAACATCTGCCTGGGTCACCCCAGGTTTGACCTCCACTCCATCTCCCAGGAAATCGTCCTCAAAGGTCATACAGTCACAGAGGAGACCTTCAACTTCCTGCTCATGGGCTGCATCCAGGACAAAAAGATGGGCTTCCGATATGCCCTGCAGGTCAGTCCCTCTCGCTTTGCCCCCATCCCTGCCTCCCATGTGCCCCTGTACCAGGGGTGCTCTGTGCTGACCTTTGGCATTTCCAAGCCCCCACTGCTGCCTGTGCGGGCGTTTTTCTCTTTGCTGCCCTTGAGCCTTCCCAGCAGTCCTGTGCAGACCGCGCTGCTCTCCCTTAGAGACAGCCAGGACAGAGGCCACGGAGGTGGCCTGGCTGGCCTAGGGAGTGCGGCTCAGCTCACGATGTATCCCCGTGGCTGTGCTTCCCTCTCTGCAGCCAGCCCAGACCCCCTGGACACCTGCAGCACACCCGCCCCCCAGGCCCACTCTCAGCATCTCTGCCCTGAGTCCCCAAGATCCCACCCCAGGTCCCAGAGATAAGCCTCCTTATCAGGTGGGAAGGGCACAGGAGATTACCTAGAGCCCTCCAGCGTGCAGTATGGCCCCCAGACCAGGAGCATCTGCCCCCTTGGAGCAGCGGAAATGCAGGGTCTCAGCCCCAACTAGGCCTCTCGCATCCAAATCTGCATTTCAGTAAGACCTAGGCACCTTCTCTGCACAGAGCTTGAGCCGAGTGATCTGGGATAGCCCTGGACCAGAGCCACTGTCCACCCCCATGCCCCAGGTGGCAGTGCTCCGCTGTTGGACACGATGGCATCCACATGTTTTTCCCTTGTAGTGAAAGCCCAGCTGAGAGCTCATTCCTCCTGGTCTTTTGCCTAGATCTGTCCTAGTTAGGAATAACATTGTATAGTAACAGCAGCAGCCAGTTTGTACTGAGCACTTGTTAAACTGCTGGAGTTGGGCACCACTATCCCCATTTTACAGGCAGGGGAACTGAGGCCCACAGAACTTAAGTTACTTGCTTACGGTTCCACAGCCAGTGAGTGGTGGAGCTAGGATTTGAACTGAGGTCTGTCTGATGCCCAAGCCTGAATCCCTGCCACTCACAGTAGCATTTGTGTCCCTGCCAAACCTCAGCTCTGCCACCTGGTCCACGTGGGATGTGGCAGCCGAGACCCCTCCTCAAGCCCCTGCTCTGGCTGGCAGTGTCCCTCCTGCCCAGCCTGCCTCATCTGCATGCTCATCTCTGGCGAGGGCGTAAGTCAGGTGCACAATTTGGGCCCCACGTGGCAGTGTGCCTGTGTGGAGGCTGTGGGCACAGGGCAGCAAGCCAGGCAAGTGAGCCCTGGTGGCGTGTTAGAAATGGTGCTGGCCTTGGTGTCAGAGCAGCCTGAATGTAGTCACAGCTACTGTTGGTCAAGTGTGCTCACTACACGACAGCTCCCAGGCCCACAGCCACTGAGAGGTGGCGCAGGGGTCAGCCGTGGCCTGCCTGGTGCTGAGCCTGCGCTCACACTGTGAGCCTCGGGGTTCTTGCCTGTCCAGTAACCACCCTCCAAAGAGGAAGGCACAGGCAGAGCACCCAGGAGGCACTCCCCAGATGAGTGGGATCAGCCTTACAGTCAGCCTAGACTGTTCGGAACTGGGCCTCTCAGGCCCTCCCTCCTCAGGATTGCACAGAGGGTGGACAGAGACTTGGGGTGAAGACTGTTCCCAGGAGAGGGCAGAGGGATGAAACTACAAGAAAATTGTGAGGTACACTCGGGGAAAAAAAGGGAGGGACACCAGCCCCTTTGAAGTCTCCCAGAGAGTTTTCAAAGTTCCCAAGATTTTTAGCGGCCCAGAGCCTGGAGCTGGGTTAGCCACTTTCCAGATTCTTCTTGTGCCCTTCCCACTTGCTGGCCTAATGGCTGACTCCCAGAACCATCTCTGCTGAGGGCTTTTCAGAGGAGGGAGGCCCGAGCGCTGAGCCTTCTCTCTCCCTGAGCAGGTATGGCGGCAGATGCTGAGTCTGGGGCTCAAGCCGAGCCGGCACGGCTACAACCTGCTGCTGGGGGCTGCCCGGGACTGTGGCTTAGGGGACCCGGAGGTGGCCACGAAGTTGCTCCTGAGGCCCATTGAGGAGACGGCCCTGCTCCAGTCCCCAGCAGGCAGGCGGCAGGCGAGGAAAATAGCCCAGGCTGGGGTAGGAGGCGGCATGTTGGCCAGGCTGCATGTGGAGGCCCTGGAGAGACAGCTATTTCTGGAAACTTCTCAGGCACTGGAGGGACCTCCAGATCTTCAGGAGGCCCAGTCTGAGGTGGACACCACAGAAGAGCCCAACCACACAGTGGCCCTCACCCCTGTGGCCCTGCAGCCCTCTCTCACAGGGCTGAAGGCCAACCTCCTGAGCCTTGGGACAGTACCTCCAACTGTGGTCTCCCTTGGGACAGTGGCTACGCCAGCTGATAGGCTGGCCCTGATGGGGGGCATGGAGGGTTTCCTGGGCAAGATGGCGGAGCATGGGCTCCAGCCCGATATCAAGACCCTCACGCTGCTGGCTGAGGTGGTGGCACCCGGCAGCCCCGAGGAGTCCTCGCTGCTGGCCACCCTGGATGTGCACCATGTGGAGGCGGACGTGACATTCTTCAACACGCTAATGAGGAAGAAGAGCAAGCTGGGTGATCTGGAGGGGGCAAAGGTGAGGGCTCAGGGGCAGCACTAGGCACTCGGATGGGAACCTCCTACCCCCACTCAGACTCTTGGATGAGTGGCCTCGTCCGCCTGCAAGGTGTGGCTGCCCGAGCCTGTGGTTGATCAGTGGGTGTGAGCTCCTGCTCTGGGCCTGGGAAGTGCTGAGACCCCACATGAGCCAGCTGACACATCCCCTGCCCAACCAGGAGGCAGGTTGGTACGCGTCCTATGTTGGTGATGGACGGGTGCTGTGGGGACGTGTGTGGGAGGGAGTCCGAGAAGTGCCCCTGAGGAGGCTGCCTTTGATGGCTGGTGACTCGGAACAGTGCCACGTGAGGGTCCCCTCTTTAGTCACTTTCTCTCCATATACTGCACTGACTCTGCTGGACGCTGTCCTATGTGTATCACTTGTGGTTTCTTTACTAATCAGACCAGGGGTACTGCTGGTTTGTGGGCTTCCCCACATTACAGGTGGGGACATGGAGGCATGGAGAGGCCAGTCACACCCATGGCCACACGCTGGCGAGGGCTGGGCCAGTGCATGAGCCCAGGCTGTCGCTGCAGCCCCTGCTCCTGAGCACCCCGCCTTACTGACCCCTTAGAGGCCGGGACGGGCCTGCGCTCACCACCAGTAAGTGGAGCCTGGTCTGGAACGCTGTCCACTGGCTGCAAAGCTGGAGCTGTGGGACCAGGCAGCCACAGGGGCAAGGCCTGGCCCCTCTTTGACTCTTCTGTAGCTGTGTGTGGAAGCTCAGCCTTGGCCTGTGACTCAGCTGTCCTCATTTGCTCAGATGGGAGTGAGGCTGGGGGAGTGGCCATCCTTGGCACTTGGGGAGCCGGTAAGGGGCCAGCTCCAGGCAGCACTGACCCAGGACAAGGCACTAGGGCTCTCACAGGCTTTGTCCATTCATACGACAAGTTTTTGTGTGCCGCCTGTCTTGTCAGAAGCACTGACCGGGCACTTGAAGCCCCTGCCTTTAAGTCTATGGTCAGAGCACACCTTCCTCCACAAGGCACATATGCAAGAGTCCATGGGCAGAGCACACCTTCCTCCACAAGGCACATATGCCAGAGCCCTGCCCCAGGGATCCCCCGATCCTAGCCAGGCTCCTTGCCCTTAGCCCTGGCTCCCTGGGCTGGACACTCCCCATCTGCTTCTTGGCATCTCTCCACCCTCCTCCTGCCCTGGGCCATCAGCCCTTGAGGACCTGGCCCTGCACTCAGGAAGTGTTGGAGGGCTGAATGCCAGGGTAGCCGGCAGAGGAGCATGTGGTGAGGTGTGGGGAGCGGCTGCAAGGCACTGCAGATGGACGGAACGTGACGGGCAAGGGGCGCTCATGGAGGGGGCACCATGGGTGGGGATGGCCAGGCAGGAAGCAGATGCCCACGGAGAGCAGCATGACTTCTGGGAGATGGTGTTGAAAGGCAGGCTGGTTGGCTGAGGGGTCTCAGATGCTAAGCTGAGGCCTGGGGTGGCACATGGTCAGCAGAGGGCCAGAATCCTTGGAACCTTGGGGTCTGTAGCCTCCAGCCAAGGGCTTCACCCACGGCTCTCACCAGGGCTGGTGTGACAGTGACACCGTGTCTGTCCGTACAGGCGCTGTTGCCAGTCCTGGCAAAGAGAGGACTTGTCCCCAACCTGCAGACTTTCTGCAACCTGGCCATTGGATGCCGCAGGCCAGGGGATGGCCTGCAGCTGCTTGCCGACATGCAGGTGAGCGGCCAAGCGTGTGCAGGACACGAGGGCTGAGGGTGCACTCGGGAGGCGGGGTGCAGCTCAGGAAGCTGGGGTGGGGAGGTGGGCCCTCCCAAGCCCCCAGGCCTCTGCACTTCCCCTGCACACTACTGGACTTGCCCAACCAATGCTGGCCGCTTTTCTAGGCTGGCCACCACCTTTTGGTGGCGATGTTGTCACCAGTGAACCCACTGCCAAGAGCTGAGGAGATGGTGTCTCCTGCCCACCATGTACTGGGTCCACTGGCTTTTTTCTCCATGTTCTTAACTTCTTTTGGGCTCTGAGGGTCTGGGTGGGGTGGGCCCATGGAGCAGTGCGTGTGCTTTCCTTTGGGCGGCGGGAGCACAGCTCGTGGTCCCGGCTCTGCTGGACATGCTTTAGGGGGCTGCTTTGTCCTAGCCCCCGTCTTCATCTTGGTGATTTTTGGTGCCTGTGACATTCCAGAAGTCCCAGATGACTCCCAACACCCACGTCTACAGCACTCTTATCAACGCAGCCCTCAAGAGGCTGGACTACGCCTACCTCATCGACATCCTGAAGGACATGCGGCGGAACAACGTCCCTGTGAACGAGGTGGTCATCCGCCAGCTTGAGTTTGCGGCCGAGTACCCACCCACCTTTGACCGGGTATGTGCACCAAGCTGGGAAGTGCTGTCAACTCCTTGACCTTCAGCTCCACCTGGGCTCGGCTTTCCAGGATTGGCATTCCCATTAAAATTGTCCAGTGGCTTCTTCTTTGCCCACAGCCTGTAGGTGTGGCCATGTTGCCCGCTTCATCCCCGGCCACTCTCCCCTTTGTTCAGTGTCAGTCACTCTGACCTTCTGTCACCTTCTAGACCACACCAGGCGCTTTCCTGCCTTGGCCTCTTGTATACCCTCTGGAGCTCTGGTGGCAGTGGTTAAGAACTCGGCTGCTAACCAAAAGGTCGGCAGTTCGAATCCACCAGCCCCTCCTTAGAAACCCTGTGGGGCAGTTCTGCTCTGTCCTGTAGGGTCGCTATGAGTCGGAATTTACTCAACAGCGTCGGGTATTTAGGTTTACCTTGAATATGGTCCCCCTGCTTTTCCCATGGTGGGCTCCCCCTCACCCCACAGGTCTTGGCCTGATGGCTCTTCCTCAGAAACACCCTACCACGTGCCTCCCCCAACCTGCAAAGCCCCCTTCCCACTACCTACAGCACTGTTTCCTTGACGCCACGTCTTACAGCCTATCACGTGTTCACAGGGCAGCTCTGTCCTCCCTTAAAACATGAGCTTCTTAGAGTGGGGCCCACGGCTGCCTTGCTCCCCCGGTCCCTACTGCTCAGTACAGGCTGCTGTTTGTTAGCGAATGGGGCAGCAGTAGGGCAGAGGGTGATGCAGCGTGTCTGTTAATGGACCTTCTCCCTGCTGCACTGAGGGGGCCAGGCCTGGGTGGTTGGTTTTTCGGGTTGACTGAGTCGGCCCTTGTGCAGAGCCCCCACAGAGCATCCAGAGCCACTGTGCTCTGGAGGAGCGCAGGCAGGGAGGGGACCATCAGCACTGCATGGGGCACAGGCGTGGCTGGCTACGCAGTGTGACACTTGTCATTTTGAAGGCGTGGTGGAATTAACAAGGCCAAGATGGTAGCGGAGGGCATGCAGGCAGCGCACGTAGCTGGACATCTTTGAAAGGTTAGCAGTTAAGTCTTCTTGTTGGTTCCTCAGAATTCTTTATATATTCTAGATACTAGTTTTCTGTTGGTTACTTACTACAAGTATCTCCTATTTAGTGGGTTGTCTTTTCACCCTATGGTGCAGGACCCACTAGGGGCCTCTTTGGCTCAGCTCACCGTCACAGGCTACATTAGGAATATACAAGTGTAGAACTGGTAACTCTTCTTCTGAGCCTTGAACCTTTTCTCCTCTGTGGTAGCAGTCTTCATCTCTGGGAATGCTCTCTTCTGAAGTCTACTTTTTCTCATACATTCCCCTCCCAGGTCTCTTTTGGTGTTCTTCCTTCTCTTCCCCCATCACTGTGGAGACTGCTGCATCCCTGCTGACATGGGGTCAGACAGGAGGGGGTGGCTGTGTGGAAGGGGGGTTGGTGGGACCCAGCAATCCTAGCTCAGGGGCTGGGGTGACAAGTGACATCCGCGGGTACAGGAGCCCAGTGGTGCATATTCAGAGAGAGGATTGTTAGCTGGGCTCTGGGCCTGCCTCGTGGCATAGCACATTTGCCCAGAACCCTTTTCTCTGCTGTAAGCTACACCCACATTGATTGTTCACCACTTTCCTGCCCTCTACCCTGTAACCGTCTGGAAGCGAGAACAGCAGGGCCCACCCAGCCTCTGGGAGGCCTGAGCCAGCTGCCATGGTTCAGGGTGAGCTGAGGGAACACAGTGATTCTAATCGTGGCTTTTCTAATCACAGTACAAAGGAAAAAACACCTACTTGGAGAAGATCGATGGCTTCCGAGCTTACTACAAGCAGTGGCTCAAAGTGATGCCAGCTGAGGAAATCCCCCACCCTTGGCAGAAGTTCAGGAGCAAGCCCAAGCAGGGGGACCAAGGCTCCATGATGGAGGCTGATGTGGACAGAGGTCTTGGGGGCAGGTGATGGTGGAGGCCTCTGGCACCAGGGCACAACTGGGGAACAGTGCACGGACTCAAACAGTGCTTGGTGGCCGCCTGGGAGACCCTTTCATATTACAGTCTCGGAGTCATGGAGAGGAAAGGCGTGGCCCAGGGTAAGAGCTGCAGGGTTTTGTAAGTGTTGCTATGATGACAAACGCTGGGGCCCCGGGAAGCTGACCAGCTGACAGCAGGTCCAAGAGCCACCCACACCATCTTCATAGGACATCCTCACAATCACCTAAGGAGCCCGTCCCCACGGCAGATGAGGTGCGTGGACCTGCTCAGTCACCCAGCACCGAGTCCCTGGCACTCTCCCATGGGCTCCACAAACTCTGTTGCTCTGAAAGAATGAACACAGGACCCAAGAGGCTGAGAGGTTTTATTTTTACAAATCACAGCTGATGAACACCGAAGTCTTCCCCAGGGAGCCCACACTCCGGTGCGGGTTTGGGGTAGTGCTGGGCAGAGAAGAGCAGCTCCCAGGACAGGGTAGCGCAAAGGCAGCCTGCAAAGTCCAAAGTCCAGGATGGAGTGGGGTCAGGCTGGAGGGCCTCAGCCGGAGCAGCCCCGGCAGCCGCAGTGCGTGCACTCGATGATCCGGCCCTGCAACAGAGACCAAGGGCTAAGAGCTACCCCCTGGTGGGGCCCCCACAGGCAGGGGAGGCTCCCTCCTGGTGTCCCCTACCCTCTGCCCAAGAGACACATACGTGTCTGTACACACAAACACGCACGGCCATCCCCCAACTGAGGAGGGAGGCAGTGGGACGTTCCCTCCCTCCAGGACGTTCCTCAGTGCCAGTTCTGGAGGGGGAAACCCAGTTCCCTCATGAAAATGCAAACACCTACTGCTGTCTCCACAACTATTCACACTTGCCAAAAAAAGAAAAAACAAAGATCCACGTGAGTAACTTGTTATTCCGCTCACTCGGGACACAGCATGCTGACTGTGCCGGAGGTGGGCCTGCTGCTGCTGCTCAGAGCTCAGCGCGGCCTCTGGTGGGGCCGGGGAAGGAGACTGCGCACTGGCATCTCCAGCCAGCAGACGGTGTTCCCCGCCCAGGGGGGCTGGGTGTCTGGCCAGGGCCTGTGCCAGCTGCTCTCAGAGCAGCCATTTGTTTTTATTTTTTTCCCTTTTTTTGGAGAAGCAAGATGCTAAGCAAACAAAATCCTATGGTGAAACCCAACAAAGTCGGAACTGGCTCTGTTCTGGGTGCAGGGCTGGGGCAGCTCACCCTAGCCCAGACACCACCGTGGCACTGCCCCAAACAGAAGTCTAGCACCCACAACTTCCCAGGGAGGCTGCCCTCACTCAGTGTCCTATGTTCACTCACTCTACTGCTCAGCATGCCTGTCCTCGAGTTTCCAGACTGTGCAGGGAGAGCCACCAACGGCCAGCACCTGCTTCGTTCTGTAGCTCTGCCTCAGAGGGGCTGCAGCCCCCCAGCACCACGCCCAAGTTTCCCAGCATAGTTTTGGAACAGAAAATTCTGAAATGTAGTGAATGTAACATGAAAGCGTCACCGAGAGGGGAAAGAGGCCTGGAAAAACAGGCGGGCTGAGATGGAACGAAGGACTAGAGGGAAGGGACGGGCTTGCCCTTGTCTGATTTAACCCTCCCAGCCACCGGAGGCAGGAACCATCACCCCCAGTTTACAGGTGAGAAAACAGGCTTCAAAGGAGTTCAGTAATGTGCCCCAGGGTGGAGTCGAGCTTGACCCCCAGACCGAACAAGCACTAGTACCACCAAACTCCATGTAACAGGGACCCCTGAGTGTGATTCACTCCCCAGAGGGATGGCCAGCAGGATATCCAGCAACAAAGCTACATCCCAGCACAACAAAGTAATGTAAGATTCTTTGGAGTCAACCAGAGCAGAACTCTGAACCAAAGATACCACCAACTATAACTATCCAACCACATGGGTGGGAGGACTTACCACTTCCAGCTTGCTTTTGGGGACCCGACAGATGCAGTTGGTCCCAAAGTTGGTGTCCCGAGTCTGGATGCAGCGCAGGCAGCACAGGTTCTCGTAGCCCTGCTTCTTCCACTTTGCTATCAGGTTTTTATCGGCGTAGCCTTCTTTAATACAGTACTCGTATAGTTCTGTCAGAAAGACGGGGATGGGCATCAGACCCGGAGTAACAAACCTCCCCCCACCCTTCGTGAAAACCCGTATTTATCCAACATTGGGCCCGCCCCTTTTGTTAGTGCTAAAAAAAATCGTGACACTGCTGGGGTTGCAAGAGTAAGAACCATTACTTAAAACTCTGAAAACCACTCACGTTTGAAAGGCCAAGAAGAGAATTTAGCCAAATACCTCTGCTTATAGCCTTCCGCTTATAAAAGAGGTCAAAGATGTATCGGGTTTTCTGGTGGTGGATCCTGAAGATGGGCCACAGAGACTCCACTTTCCTTTTCCCCTCATGAGGCTCTGTCTCCGCTGGGGAGAAAAGGGTAGGTTGGTTGGTTGGTTTTGGGGGAGAAGGGGTTAGTCTGCACAGGAAGCAGTGTTACTTTTCAACAACTAGGATTAAAGAATAAATACCACTTTATATCCACTAAACTGTCGATTCCAACTCATAGCGACCCTACAGGACAGAGTAGAACTGCCCCATAGGATTTCCAAGGAGCAGCTGGGGGATTCGAACTGCTAACCTTTTGGTTAGCAGCCATAGCTCTTAACCACTGTGCCACCAGGGCTCCTTATATCTACTACAATGGCTATAATCAAAATGATGGACAATAACAAGTGTTGGGGAGGATGTGGAGAAACTGGAACCATCATACATTGTTGGTGGGATTGTAAAACGCTGCAGCTGCTTTGGAAAACAGACTGTCAGTTCCCCAAAATGTTGAACACAGAGTTACCATATGACCCAGCAATTCCACTCCTAGGTATACAGCCAAGAGAACTGAAACGTATGTTCACACAAAAACTTGTGCACTGATGTTCATAGCAGCACTATTCACAACAGCCAGAAAGTGAAAACAAGCCAAATGTCCATCATCTAATGAATAAGTATGTAGTACCATATGCAGCAATAAGAAGGAACAAAGTACTGAGACATGCTACAACATTCATGAACCTTTGAAATATTACGCTGAGTGAAAGAAGCCAGTCCAAAAGACCAATACTGTATATTCTACTTATATGAAATGTTAAGAATAGGCAAATCCAGAGACAAAGTAGATTAGTGGTTGCCCCCTGGGGGAAGGGGGAATGGTGAGTGACTTGCTAGTGGTATAGGGTTTCTTTTGGGGGTGATGAAATGTTCCAAGATTGATTGTGATTATGGTTGCACCACTCTGAATATACTTGAAGACTACTTAATTGGACACTTTTAAAAGGTGAATTTTACAGCATTCTCTCTTAATAAAGCTCTCATTAAAAAAAAAAAAGAAAATAAGGCAAATGATTTGAACACACTGTTTTAAATTAAAAATGCCTTTTTTAATTAGATAAATTAAAAAACAAATTTAAAAAAGATTCATACCAAGATAATTTCCAATAACACCCTGGTCTCTTCTCTATCCTTCCATACCTCTTCCTACAGCATTGTACTTTTGCAAGATTAATTCCTGGCCCATAGATGGGCATTCCAATCATCTTCAAACTTAACCTCTAATTTCATTTTCCAACCAAAAAGTCCTTTCCAAAAAAAAAATAAAAATACCCCACATCCACTGCCATTGAGTCGATTCTGACTCAGTGACCCTATAGGACAGAGCAGAGATGCCCCACAGGGTTTCCAAGGAGCGGCTGGTGGATTCAAACTGCCAACCTTTTGGTTAGCTTGCAGCAAGCTCTTAACCACTGCACCACCAGGGCGCCTTAAAGTCCTTTAGAAAATGTAAAAAATAAAAGCAAAAACTGGACAAGTCTAAAAGTTCTTAGCACAGTGGCCTGCTAAGAAAGAACTGCTCCTTCAGTACACAGAGGATCAGACATCAGTGCACACCTGCCCCAAGGCAATTCTCTACCTTTAGCAGTTGTGCTGAGGTAGAAAATATTGGAAATAAAGAAAGTTACATACGTTCAGATACCAGGTTCCGTACTCCCTCAAAAAAATCATCCCTTAGAAGAGGAAGTGTTTATTTTGAAGGACTTGCAAAATCTCTTCTATTATAGCACTCTCCCTGTTCCTGTATTCTGAATAAAGACCTATTAGCCCAAAATGACCTTGATTACTGTAAGTTTTGGGTATTTATAGAGGCTTCCTGACATAATCAGTTTTGAAAAAAGGAGGTAAAGTAATCTAGCATTGCTGGAGGTATGGCCTTATAATTACAGGAATTAGGTTAGTTACAAACAAGCACTTAAGAGTAAGCTTTAAAAAGTAATTCAGTAAGTAGTTATACTGTGGAGATCATAAAAGGTCAGTGGATGCTTGTGGCTTCTGACGAAGTTTGCAAAGGCAGCAGAAGACATGAACTCACAAAGTGCACGACCACACACACCAGTTAGGGGGAGTGAGGGTGCAAATCCTAAGCCATGGTGAAAACAGCATCAAAGACCCACAAGAAGAGCTTGAATGAAAATGGTTCATAAAATGTGAAAGTGAACAAGAGCAGCATTCCCAAGTAAATATAAATTATGTAGCTAACCAAAATAGTAATAATTACAGGTAGACTATTTGCCTGTTTGATCTATATTCCCTAAAGCTTTTATATTAAAGTTGGCCAAAAAAAAAAAAACAAATAAAAAAACCAAATCATTTCTGAGGACCTTTTCAACAGTGTTCTCTTATATTCAGGCATTTAGAATACTTCTATGAGTTAATGGAGTCCTGGTGGTACAGCGGTTAAAGCGCTCGGCTGCTAACCGAAAGGTTTGAACCCATCAGCTTCTCCACAGGATAAAGATGTGGCAGTCTGCTTCCGTAAAGATTTCAGCCTTGCAGAAAACTTCCCTAATATTATGGAAGATGAAAAGTTGACCATCCAAGAAGCTCAAAGAACCCCATATACGACAGAACCCAAAAGAAAATCACTAAGGGGTATCATAATTATACTCACTAAAACCAAAAACAAAGAATTGTCAGAGCAGCTTGAGAAAATCGAAAAGTCACATACAGAGTGAAACAATAAGACTAAGCTCTGATTACTCAGCAGAAGCCATGCAGGCAAGAAGGTAATGGGATGACATATACAAAACTCTGAAAGAAAAAAACTGCCAACCAAGAATAATAGATCCTGCAAAACTCTCACTCAAATATGATGGTGAAATTAGGACATTTCCAGACAAACAGAAATTAAGGGAATATGTAAAAACCAAAACAAACTTACAAGAATTATTAAAGGTAGCCCTTCGGTTAAAGAACAAACATCAGGTGACAGCCTGAATCTAGGACACAAGACCACTGCATCAGCCAGATACCAACCTAGGTAATGAACTCTCAGAGATTAATCAAAACTAAAAGTTTACAACAGGGAACCAGAAGGATTAATCTGTAATTGACAACAACATCAGAACAATAAAAGAGGTCAAATGGAGAGGAAGACAAGGCAACACCAAGTAATAAAAGACTGGTTCAAACTTAGGAAGATAAGGGTAAATTCCAAGGTAACCACAGAGAAAATTAACAAACCTACTCATCAAAATAAAGAAAAAAAACAAAGTCTCAGTACAAACAAAATCTACAAAAACAAATGAAAAAGAAATCCACAAACAAAGGAATTCAGCACAGTAGAAAGAGGAACAAAGAAAACGTCAGCACCACAAGAAAAAAGCACTACAAAATGACAGCAGTAAACTCACACCTACCAATAATTACACTGAATGTAAATGGCCTAAATGCACCCAGAAAGAGACAGAGAGTGACAGATGGATAAAAAAACAGGATCCATCAATATGCTGTCTACAAGAGACACACCTTAGAAGCAAAGACATAAATTTATTGAAAATAAAAGGATGAAAAAAAATCTATCAAGCAAACAGCTACCAAAAAAGAGCAGGAGTGGCAATACTAATTTCTGATAAACTGTAAAAACAAAATCCACCATAAAAGACAAAGAAGTGCATTATGTAATGATTAAAGGGACAATCCATCATTAAGACATAACCATAATAAATACCTATGTACCCAATGACAGGGCTCCAAAGGACATAAACTAACAGCACTGAAAAGAGAAATTGACAGTTCCACAATAATAGTAGGAGACTTCAACACACCACTCTTGGTAAAGGACAGAACGTCTAGAAAGAAACTTAACAAAGATACAGAAGATCTAAAGACCACAGTTAGCTAACTTCACCTCACAGACATATATAGAGCACTCCACCCAACAGCTGCAAACTACACATTCTTTTCCAATGCACATGGAACATTCTCCAGAAAGACCACAAAGCAACCCTCAACAAAATCCAAAAATTTGACATAACGCAAAGTATCTTCTCCGATCACAACGCTATCAAGGTGGGAATTAACAGGAAGAACAGAAAGAAATCAAATACATGGAAACTGAGTAACACCTTGCTTAAAACCACTGTGTAACAGAAGAAATCAAAGATAAAAAAATTCCTATTATCAGAGGAGAATGAAAATGCACCATACCAAAACCTCTGGGACACAGCAAAGGCAGTGCTCAGGGGTCAATTTATAGCAATAGATGCACATATCAAAAAAGAAAGGGACAAAATCAAAACATTTGCTATACAACTCAAATAAACAGAAAGAGAACAGCAAGAGAAGCCCGCAGCCACCAGAAGAAAACAAATACTAAAGATCAGAGCAGAAATAAATGAAACAGAGAATAGCAACACAATAGAATCAACAAAACCAAAAGCTGGTTCTTTGAAAGGATCAAAATCAACAAACCACTGGCCAAACTGACAAAAGAAAAACAGGAAAAGATGCAAATAACCCAAATAAATGAAATGGGGGACATTACAACAGAACCAACTGAAATAAAAAGAATCGTAACAGAGTACCATGATATACTCCAACAAATTTGAAAACGTAAAAGAAATCAACAAATACCTGGAAGCACACTACCTACCCAAACTAAAACTAATGTTGAAAATCTGAACAGACCCATAACAAGAGAAAACATTGAAAAGGTAATAAAAAAAAATCCAAACCAAAAAAAGCCCTGGCTCAAATGGCTACACTGGAAAATTCTACCATTCAGAGAAGAGCTTACACCAGTATCACTCAAACTATTTCAGAACATAGAAAAGGAAGAGATACTTCCAAGTTCATTCTACAAAGCCAGCATAACCCTGATACAAAACCAGGCAAAGACACCACAAAAAAAGAAAAATACAGACCAGTATCTCTCACGAATATAGATGCAAAAATTCTCAACAAAATTCTAGCCAACAGAATTCAGCATCATATCAAAAAAATAATGCACCATGACCAAATGGGATTCATACCAGGTATGCAAGGATGGTTCAACATTAGAAAATCAATCCACATAATCCACCACATAAATAATCACATGATCATCTCAGTCAAAGCAGAAAAGAAATTTGACAAAGTCCAACACTCATTCCTGATAAGAACTCTCAATAAAATAGGTATAGAAGGGAAATTCCTCAACATAATAAAGGGCATCTATACAAAACCAACAGCCAACATCATTCTTAATGGAGAGAGGCTGAAAACATTCCCCTTGAAAACAGGAAGAAGACAAGGATGCCCTTTATCACCACTCCTGTTTCACATTGTGCTGGAAGTCCTAGCTAGAGCAATAAGGCAAGAAAGAGAAATAAAGGGCATCCAAATTGGTAATGAAGAAGTAAAACTGTTCCTATTTGTGAATGATATGATACTATACATACAAAACCCAAAAGACTCCACGAGAAAACTACTGGAACTAATAGAAAGATTCAGCAGAGTAACCGAACACAAGAAAAATATACAAAAATCAGTTGGATTCCTATACACCAATAAAGAGAATGACGAAAAGGAAATCAGGATAAGAATACCATTTATAATAGCCCCTAAAAAAATAAAATACTTAGGAATAAATCTAATCAGGGACTTAAAATGGAAAAACATAGCATGCTCACAGATAGGTAGACTCAACATTGTGAAAATGTCAATTCTACCCAAAGCAATCTACGAATACAATGCAATCCTGATCCAAACCAAAACCATCGTTTAATGAGATGGAAAAACTAATTAACTTTATATGGAAAGGGAAGAGGCCCCGGATAAGTAAAGCATTACTGAAGAAAAAAATACAGTAGGAAGACTCATACTGCCTGACCTCAGAACCTACTTTACAACTATGGTAGTCAGAACAGCCTGGTCCTGGTACAATGACACACACATAAACCTGTGGAACAGAATTAAGAACCCAGATGTAAATCCATCCACCTACAGTCACCTGATTTTTGACAAAGGCCCAAAGTCCATCAAATGGGGAAAAGACAGTCTTTTTAACAAATGGTGCTGGCAAAACTCGATGTCCATCTGCAAAAAAATGAAATAAGACCCATACCTCAGACCATACACAAAAACTAATTCAAAATGGATCACAGACCTAAATATAAAACCAAAAACTATAAAGATCATAGAAAACAAAATAGGATCAATGCCAGAGGCCCTAATGCAGGGCATTAACAGGATATACACCATAACTAACAACACAGAAACTTAAGAAGAGAAGCTAGATAACTGGGATCTTCTAAAAATTAAATACTTATCCTCATCAAAAGACTTCACCAAAAGAGTAAAAAGAGAACCTACAGACTGGAAAAAAATTTTAGTCTATGACAAATCTGACAAAGGTCTAATCTCTAAAATCTACAGGAATATCCAACACTTCTACAACAAAAAGAAATAATCCGATTAAAAAATAGGCAAAGGAAATGAACAGCCACTTCACCAAAAAGGACATTCAAGTGGCTAACAGACACATGTGGAAATGCTTGTGATCACTAGCCATTAGAGAAATGCAAATCAAAACCACAATGAGATACCATCTCACCCAGCATTACAGGCACAAATCAAAAAATACCAGATAACAACAAATGCTGGAGAGGCTGCGGGGAAACTGGAACTCTTATGCACTGCTGGTGGGAATGCAAAATGGTACAACCATTTTGGAAAACAATATGGTGCTTCCTTAGCTAGAAATAGAAATACCATATAATCCAGCAATCCCACTCCTAGGAATATATCCTAGAGAAGATCTGTCACACGAATAGACATATACACACCCATGTTCGCTGCAGCATTGTTCACAATAGCAAAAAGATGGAAACCACTTAGGTGCCCATCAACAGATGAATGGATAAACTATGGTACATACACACAATGGAGTACTACACAGTGATAAACAATGATGAATCTGTGAAGCATCTCATAACATGCATGAATCTGGAGAGCATTATGCTGAGTGAAATAAGTCAATCACAAAAGGACAAATATTATATGAGACCTCTACTGTAAAAACTCATGAAAAGGTTTACGCACAAAAAAGAAACAGTCTTTGATGGTTACGAGGGGGGGGGTGGGGACAGAAAAACGCTAAATAGACAATAGATAAGTAAGTAACTTTGGTGAAGGGTTAAGACAGTACACAATATTGAGGAAACCAAGACAAGGTCATGGAAGCTCAGTAGACACATCCAAACTCCCTGAAGAACTGAATTACTGGGCTGAGGGCTGTGAGGACCATGGTCTCAGGGAACATCTAGCTCAACTGGCAATACATAGTTTATAAAGAAAGTGTACTACATTCTACTTTGGTGAGTAGTGTCTGGGGTCTTAAAAGCTTTTGAGTGGCCATCTAAAGATGCTCCAATGGTCTCACACTGTTGGGAGCAAGGGAGAATGATGAAAACCAAAGACACAAGGGAAAGATTAGTCCAAAGGAGTAATGGACCACAACTACCACAGCCTCCACCAGACCGAGTCCAGCACAACTAGATGGTACCCGGCTACCACTACTAATGGCTCTGACACGGATCACAGTAGAGGGTCCAGGACAGAGCTGGAGAAAAAAGTAGAACAAAATTCTAACTCATAAAAAAAGACCAGACTTAGTGGCCTGACAGAGACCGGAGAAATCCCAAGAGTATGGCCCACAGACACCCTTTTAGCTCAGTAATGAAGTCACTCCTGAGGTTCATCCTTCAGCCAGAGATTAGACAGGCCCATAAAACAAAACGAGACTAAAGGGACACACCAGCCCAGGGGCAAGGACTAGAAGGTAGGAGGGGACAGCAAAGCTGGTACTAGGGAACCCAAGGTCTAGAAGAGGAGAGTGTTGACATGTCGCGGGATTGGTAACCAATGTCACAAAACAGTATGTGTACTGATTGTTTCATGAGAAGCTAGTTTGTTTTGTAAACCTTCATCTAAAGTAAAATAATAAAAATAAAAAAAATAAAAAAGATTTCAGCCTTGGAAACCCTATGGGGCAGTTCTACTCTGTCCTATAAGGTCACTATGAGTCAGAACTGGCTTGACAGCAGTGAGCTTAGAGTTTTTTTTTTAATGAGTTAATAGAGGTCCCTGGGTGGTGCAAACAGTTTGTGCCTGACTACTAACCTAAAGGTTGGTAGTTCAAACACACCCAGCAGTGCTGATGAAGAAAGGTCTGGTGATCTGCTTCCATACAGATGTATCCAAGAAAACCCTATGGAGCAGTTTCTCTCTGTAACACATGGGGTCACCATGAGTCAGAATCAACTCTAGAACAGTGGATTTACATGTTAATTGTAGGACTGTTAATGATAGCCTATCAACAGATGAATGGATAAACAAATTATGGTATATTCACACAATGGAATATGACACAACAATAAAGAAAAACGATGAAGCTGTGAAACATAACATGGAGGAACCTGGAGAGCATTATGCTGAGTGAATTTAGTCAGTCACAGAAGAACAAATATTGTATAAGACCACTATTATAAGAACTCAAGAAAAGGTTTACACACAGAAGAAAACATTCTTTGATGGTTACAATAGTGGGGAGGGAGGATAAGGCTTATTCACTAGATTGTAGACAAGAATTACCTGAGGTGAAGGGAAGGACAGCATATACCACAGGGGAAGACAGCACAACGGGACTAAACCCAAGCTAAGAAGTTTCCTGAATACAATCAAACACTTCGAGGGACAGAGTAGCAGAGGCAGGAGTCTGGGGACCATGGTTTCAGAAGACATCTAAGTCAATTGGCATAACAAAGTTTATTAAGCAAACGTTCTGCATCCTACTTTGGTGAGTGGCGTCTGGGGTCTTAAAAGCTAGCAAACTGGTTCCAACCACCTGGAGTAAAGGAGAATGAAGACCACCAAAGACATAAGAAAAGTATTACCCCAAGAGAAAGACAGGGCCACAGAGATCAGAGACTTCCTCAGCCTGAGACCAGAAGAACTACATGTTGCCTGGCTACCACCAATGACCGCCCTGACAGGGAACACAACAGAGAGTCCCTGATGGAGCAGGGGAAGGGTGGGATGCAGAACTCAAATTCTAGTAAAAGACCAGACTTAATGGTCTGAGACTGGAGGAACCCCAGAAAGCATGGCCCCCAGACTTTGTCAACCCACAACTAAAAAAACAATTCCCGAGGCCAACTCTTCAAAGATTGGACTGGACTGTGGGACATAAAGTAATACTCGTGAAGAGTGTGCTTCTTAGCTCAAGTAGATACATGAGACTAAATGGGCAGCTCCTGTCTGGAGATGAGATGAGAAGGCAAAGAGTGTCAGAAGCTGGTTGAATGGACACGGGAGACCAGCGGTAGAAAGGAGGAATATGCTGTCACAGTACAGGGAGAGCAATTAGGGTCACATAACAACGTATGTATAAATTTTTATATGAGAGGCTAACTTGAATTGTAAACTTGCACTTAAACTACAACAATAAAAATAAAAAGGAAGAAAGAAAAAAGAAAGAACAATGGGTTTAGTTTTGGAGTTTATAAGCAAACAAGATAGGTCCATGTCCGGAGACACAGTGGTGCCACCTGTTCCAATTTATACTTGCATTTTGCTCGGCCCGTGGAGGCACCTCAACCTGTGATTCCAGGACCCAGCCAACCCAGACAGATACTTCCACACTCACCTTCTCTCATCTTTTGATCCAATTCATCTAGTGTTGGTTCAATCAACTCCCAGCCATCTGGGGGAGCTTTCCGGCTTCTTTTGACTTTAGGCATTTTTGTTCACAAAATAATTTGCAAAGATCTGGGGAAAAAAATGAACTGAATTGGTTTCTGAACCTTAGATCGCCAATGGCCTCCACCAGCTACCACTGTGGCACACATCCACTACCTAAAAGCAGCACAGGGCAGTGGCTACTGGAAGGGGTTCAGCATTATAAATGCCTGGGTTCAAATCCTGGCTCTGATACTTAACCATTGTTGTGACCTTAGAAAGCTCATTAAAATCCCTAAATCTCAGTTTACGCATCTGTAAAATGAGGATAACAGAACCTACCTTATCACGTCACTATGAAAACTTAATTATAACTGTATATAAAGTGCCTGGTATATAATGTGTACTTAATAGATGCTTACTGTTATCATTAACATCAACTATAGTCTTGGCCCTGTACTGAATGATTTAAGATACAACCTCTGCCCCTAAAAAGGTGACATTCTAGCAGGGGACACAGAAAGGTGAAAGGGCAACAATATTGCAGTGTGAGGACAACTAGGACTAGGGGAGCTGGGAGGATGAGTATTCCAAAGGGAAAAAGAAGCTGTAAAACCAAAGCACCTTAGGATCTGCTTTCCAAGGGTGTACTGGGAATATCTCTGGACTCTGCAGTTACAGGCTTGGGTTCTTTTTCAGCTCTACCATTTACTCGCTGTGACTTTGGGGAGGTCACTTTCCCTCTCTGGTCCTCAATCTCCTCATCTGTAAAATGAAGGCAGTGGATTAGGTGATTGCTATAGCCCCTTTTAAACCTATCAAACGACCTACCCAAAGACAAGTCATGGACAGTCCATGCAATAAGCCAGTCCAAACCTAAACAGCAAAACACTTTTCAAACCACACAGCGTTTCCTAGCTGGCAAAGAGAATGCAGGCCAATTTTCGCTAACCTTTAAGCACAACAGACACATCTCCCCTAAATTCACCCAGTCCTTCCATTCTGAAGGTTTACTGAGTTTACTAAGTCCCCCTCCTACACACAGACCGCCTCCTCTCACAAACTCTCCATAGCAACCTTACAAATGAGGAAACAAATTTCAAGAAGTAAAGTCAGGATCACATAGACGCAAACCTGCAGGATCAGTGCTCTTTACACTGGGGTCTTCCCCGTGTGAAGCTACAGAGAATGGTCTGGGAGGGCAAAGACACAGCCAGTGATAAGAAAAGGATCACTTTCCTATTACCCGGGGAAATTCGGGGGCCTGGAGCCCTGGTAGCGCAGTGGTTAACAGCTCGGCTACTAACCAAAAGATTGGCAGCTCGAATCCACCAGCCACTCCCTGGAAACCCTATGGGGAAGGTCTACTCAGTCTTATTGAAAACAAACAAACCAAACCCATTGCCATCGAGTCGATTCCGTTCTATAGGGTCGCTGTAAGTCGGAATCGACTCGACAGCAACAGGTTTGGTTTTGGTTTTTGGCCCAGCCTGGGAGTCAGAGGAGCCCTCCCGGGGGAGGTAACAGGTATGAAGTAACCAAGTCAAAAACAGGTGGTGGGAGGCGCAAAAACCATCATCTCTTAGGGGCGGCTCGAGAGAGGAGAGAGGGGAAAAGCGCTCGTAAGGACAGAAGACGTTATAAGCGGGACTCCACGGAAAGTTCAAGAAAAGGACTGCATCGAAAGCAGAATTAGAAGAACAAACAAAATGTAGAGAAAACAAGTCCCTGGCGGAGAAAACGGCGTGAAAAGACGCTCAGTAGCAAGGAACCCCACAAATCTGCCATCCCCTCAGCAAAATAACAGAGGCACCGCCTTCTCCCAGAAACTCACTCCGGCCTCCCGGTCCAGCCGGCCGATCCCATCCCAGTCCAGGAACTCAGATCGCCCTCTGAGCCAGCGCAGACCTCCAACCTCTGGCTAAAACCGTAACCAAGGCACCCAAACACTCACCAAAATCCCCGTTCTCTCCCGCAGCCGCTTCTCTACTGTCCACTTCCTCTTCTCACGTGATCTCTTGAGGATGAGGTCCTCGCGAAACCCCGCCCCTCCCCGCGAGGGTTTTGCGTGATCTTAGGTGTCCACAGAGCTGCCTGTAGAGAATTCCGCAGCCGCTGCTACCCTGCGCCCTCAGTTTCCGTGGGGGTGGCCGGCAGGGGCACGCGTCTCCCCTGGCGAGGCTACTGGGGACACTCTTGCCCGACAGTTCGCGGGAGAGCCTGGTTTCAGGCAGCGCGCGGGACAGTCCCTCTTCTTGTTGGGGGCCTCTCCGAGGTCCCCGGTCCTCGCGGCGGCTGTGGCGGCTCGTGGTGGGCACTTGGCCGGGCGGAAAGAGTTGTGCCCGAGGAATTTCCGGTTCCGGTGTCAGTTCGAGGCGCCGCCTCAGCAGCCGCTGGAGCCGCGATGCCTAAAGGAGGTGAGAGTGGGCGCGCGTGGCTCGAGGGCCTCGAGGGGCGGCCCGAGTCCTATTCCTGCTGTTCCCTCAGCCCGCGATGTGTCTCAGAGAGCAGCGCAGCGGACGGGCGTCCGCGCCAGCTGAGGGCCAGGGCTGGGCCTCGACGCCCAATTGTCTCGATGTGGAAACTGAGGACCGTAGTGGCCTAGAGCCACTCCTTCAGGGGTCTGAAGAGTCCCAGAGGCTCTGGTTCTCACTGGCACCGAGGCCGGATCTGGTGCGTGCTTCTCCAGGTCTAGGGGGTCTGAAGTTTCCTCTCACTTCGAGGCTCGCCGGGAACTGAGTCACCGCGTCCCGCCCCTGTGACTGGGCCCGCCTGCCTCGCGTGTAAAACGTGGGCCCTCTCGGGCTCCGGCCCGGTCGGGCCTTTGCCAGATAAGCTTTAATGTGATGCTCTTGGGCCCAGCCTACCTGACTATGACGCCTCTATCCAGTAGCGACTCCTTGTGGGCCTTTGAGCCAAGTCTCTTAACCTCCCTGTGTGTCAGTTTCCTCACTTGCAGTGGGGATAATAATTGTACGTACCTCAGTAACACTGACGCGCGAGGCTTTAGCTAGGTAATCAGAGTGCTCGATACGATGCCTGGCAGCCGCTAAGGGCCCAGCTAGTATTTTTATTTGTAAGGCCGAGAAGGTGAAGAGTGCATGGCTCAGTATGTTGTGGACCGTCCTCCATCCTCTTTCCCCTGAGAATCAGTAGTTCTCGGCTTGAATCCCACAGTGTCACTGTCAAACTCTGTGGCCTTGAACGCAGCTTGTTTTCCTCCTCTGAAACCCTGGGGTGATGATCCTTCTCTCAGAGTTGGGGTGGGGGTCGGAAAATGATAGAACAGATGGAGGGCCTGGTTAGCTCCTGGCAGGGAACAGCTGTTCAGTTAATAGTGGCAGCTCATGTGTCGTGTTGGTTAAAATGCAGCCAGTGCACTCAGCCCAGGAACATCTACTTGAAGCTTTTTCACACCTAAGTGACTTCCTGACTCTTATTTCCAGAGATAATGAGATTTACAGAGCTGGATCTGTTTAAATCTAGCTCTCTGCTGATTAATTCTGGCGCCGGGGACACTGTGTACCCTCTGTGTTCCTCAGTGTCAGCGTCTGTAAAAGAGTGGTGCTAACAGCCCTTCTGCTCCAGAGTCCTACTTAATGAGTACTTTGGGCCAAGATTGGGAGTTACCATTACAAAATGTTTACTATCAATTCATAGCTAAATGACTTGGTCTTTTGGCCTGTGGAAAGCTTTGTTGTTAGGTAGTGTCGAGTCGATTTTCAACTGCCACGTGACAGTAGAACTGCACCATAGGATTTTCTTGGCTATAATCTTTACGGAAGCGGAAGCAGATCTCTAGGCCTTTTCTCCATGATGCTGCTAGCTGGATTCAAACCGCCAACCTTTTAGTTGGTAGTCAAGCGCAGACCTGTTGCACCACCCAGGGACCCTAGAAAACGTGAATGTGTTTTTAAAAAGTATAAAATTCACCATGCACCTAGGAACAACTTGTTTCCATTATGCTGACTGGGAAGCATTTTTAAAAGCTTGAAGAATCTTCTGTAAAAGTTATTGTAAAGCAAGCCAAGATCATTATCACATAGCCAGTTGTGCAGGATGGGAGCCTGTAGTAACCAGTTTTTAGGAGCTACTATTGCCTGAAATATTAAGAGGGTGAGAGAGGGTGTTGGTTTTGTTTTTTTTTTTAATGGCAAGCTTGATCTCTCACAATAGGACTTTCATGAGCATAAGCCAAGACGTCCCTGGGAGGCTAGGTAGTCATTAAAAATGGGTGATGTGTTCTGCAGCAGCCCAATTATGGCTTTGCAGCTGCTGTCTAAGAAATCAGGGGAGGCCAGTATCTCAGCTACTGTCCCTGGAGTCCTGAGCAGCTTGGGCTGTCTAATTACAGATTCTTTGCTCTGGGTGAGGAACTCACTGGAAATCAGGTGTGCCTCAGTTTCCAGAAGAGATCCTGTGGTGGGGATCAAGGCCACAGCTATCCCAGCATCCTCTGGGGTCCACAGAGAGCATACCATTCTACTCTAAAATTGGCTGATGGCTATAGCAAGTGACAGTCTAGTGTCCTGGCTCAAGTCTGTAAAACTCATACTCTTAAAATTGCTAGTCACATTTTTTAACTTACAGACTGTTGCTGTTGTTTGCTGCCATCAAGTCGGCCCCTGACTCATGGCAACCCCATGTACAACAGAACGAAATGCTGCCTAGTCCTGTGCCATTTAAGTCCCTTGGTCTATAAAACAAACAGGACCGGCAGTTACTCATGTGCCATAGGTTTGTACTGAGAATCAAATGAGCTCATGTCTGTGATAGAATATTGCAAGTAAAAGGCACTGTAGTGGCGTTGTGGGTATAAATCTTACACGTTCTCATGATTGCATCGAAGCCCACCATGTTAGGATTTAGCCGGTCGCTCCATGCTGTGCCCCCTCCCCTATGCTATACCCTCTGGTCTTATTTGTGGGAACCTGCATCCCGCACACAGTTTGGTGATAAGTCCAGATAGTCACACATTGCTCTTGTGTCCGTTTGCACACGTGAGGGAGGAGGAAGTGGAGGTGTTGGGTGGTGGTTGGTGAGGCACAGGTGAGGAGAGCAGCCCATGCAAGACGCCACCTTCGGGGGTTGGGGCAGTCATGGAAGCTGCCTCCCTTCCACCTCCTAAACTACTCATCCTCGTGCAGGAAGAAAGGGCGGCCACAAAGGCCGGGCAAGGCAGTACACGAGCCCCGAGGAGATCGACGCCCAGCTCCAGGCTGAGAAGCAGAAGGCCAGGGTGAGTACATGTCTGTCTAGGCCACATCAGTGGTGCAGGGTGGCCCACCTGCCTCTGGCCTCCAGAGCAGCCAGGCAAGGATGGCCCGTTGCGAGGGCAGCGGGCGACAGGCGAGAGTCCCAGAACAACCAACGACAGTCAGGTCGGGAGCCATCCTGATTGGAACTGACTAGAAAGAACTTTGTTCACTTGGCAGATGGTGCCCTAGTGGATTGGTTCTTGCTCCTGTGCTCTGGGTGGGAACACAGAGAAAAGAGCACAGTTCCTGCCTTCTGGGGCTCCCCCTCCTCCAGGCTGTGTCCTGCCACAGTTGGAGCTCCTGGCACCCCCACTTGTCTGTTCCAGCCATGCGGGACTGCCTGCCACACCCCCAGTAGGCAAAGAGCAGTTCATTTCTCAAGACCTTGTTCAATGCACCTCCTCTGTGATTCTTCCACTGGTGCAACCTCACCACCCCACCGGTCCCTCCGATGTAGTAGTTCCCTCTACTCCATTCTAGTCCATTGCTAGGACACAGGATGTTTCTATCGTTGTTGGTGTTCACGTTCCCTCTGCTCACTAGATCTATGCCTGGATAAGGGCACAGGTGACACACGCAGGGCCAGATGAGTGGCACAGCTCATGCCACAGAAACAGGGAAAGGAGGGGCCGCATCTTGCTTGGGGGGTCAGGGAGGGCCTTGTAGAGGAGAATGTGGGCAAGTGCTCAGAGGTGGCAGTGACAGGAAGGAGGGAGAGTTGACCAGAGGCACTGAAGATCAGAACAAGGATATAAGGTTTTTGTAAGAGACTTCGGGGGAAGGTAAGACAGGTGGAGGGAAGTGGCATGCCAGGGTGTTGTCTGGGAAGCCTGTGCAGCAGGGCGTCCGCGAGGGCAGGTTGAGGTGGCTGGCGCCACTGGCTGTGCGAGTGGAAAGGAGGGGAGGAGTGGACAGGGGACAGGAGGGGGGCTGAGCAGCACTGTGGTTTCCAGCTGCTTGGCTGAGTCCTGCTGCCCTGGAGAGAAGCTTGTCACCTAGGCTGGCTGTGTGAGGGCCTTGCTGGACTGTGAGTGGTTTCCGGGCCTGGAATGAGTGGATAGACCGCCTTGGCCCCAGGTCCATCCCCTGGGGCCAGGGTCACAGAGCAGGACCCTTGTCAGATGTGGTCCCAGCCTTCCAGTGGCTTGATTTCTCAAGGTCCACAGTCTTGAGGGTGGTGGTGGGGGTCACAGTCTTGGGGGTTTGTTTCTCATTTTTGACCCTGCAGGTTGTCCATTTCTAAAACAGGAAGAAGAAGAACAAGGAGAAGAGGGTGGAGATGGGGCTGCAGGTGACCCCAAAAAGGAGAAGAAATCTCTAGACTCAGATGAGAGTGAGGAGGATGAAGATGACTACCAGGTACTTCGTCTGATGGGGCCTGGGCTCATCCATTCAATGAACATTTCTCAAGTGCCTGGTAATCACCAGGCCCAGTGGTAGATGTGACAAAATCCTTGCTCTTAAGGGTTTACATTCCAATGGGGAATATAGACAATAAAAAAGTAAATAACAATAATTTTTAGTAGTGATAAGTATTATGAGTAAAATAGATTGTAATAGAGGGTACAGGGAGGAGTGGTGTTGATAGGAGATGACTTAAGCGGAGATCTGAAAAACAAGGAGCCAGTCATGTGAAATGGGCTTGTAGAGCAGTTGAGGCAGCCAGACCAGCAAGTGGAAAGACCCTGGGGGTAGGAGCAAGCTTGGCCTGTTCAAGGAACAGAAAGAGGCTGGTGGGGCTGTGGCTTAGTGGGTAAGGACTAGAGTGTTACTGATGAAGGAAGAGAGGTCGGCAAGGGCCATGGAAAGGGTTTGAGTTTTAGTGTAGTGGCCAACTGGTGTA